AAAATTCGTTCTGAAATGGCTAGTGCTAAAAAGCCTGTGAGTTGTGATTAAATGGTATGGATCAATAGATGAAATTTATTTTGAAATTGTTAGTACTGAAAAGCTTATGAATTACGATCAAGTATCAATTAATGGAACTTGTTCTAAATGGTTAGTGCTGAGATGTTGAAAAAGAAAGATGAGAGATTGTGGAGTCTTAAGAACCATATTAGCATAATTAATTAGAATTTCATGACATGGATATCCGTATTACATGCATTACATTTGCATTATTGTTTGGAGAATATTTGAAACTTTGGTTTGGCTATGCATTTGCATTATGCAGTAAATATTTGAATCATGGTTGAGAATATGATATTGTGAGAATCTAGATTGTTACATTTGTATAATTGATCATGACATTCAGTACATACAAAATTTTGACTTTGGTAAAAGTTTGAAGCTCATATGAAAAAGTGATTTTGAGTATTTTGATAAAGTTTTGAGTCTTAAATGAGAATCTTTAAGACATTTTCATATAAGAATCTTTAAGTTTTAAATGAGAATCTTCAAGACGTTTTCAAATGAGAATCTTTGAGTCTTAAATGAAAATTTTAAAGACATTTTCAAATGTAAATCTTTGAATCTTAAATGAGAATCTTTAAGACGTTTTCAAATGAGAATCTTTAAGTCTTAAATGAGAATCTTTAAAACATTTTCAAATCTTAAAGATGCGAAACCCTAAAGTTTGAACTAGAATGAAAAGTTTTGAACTTTTGGATGTGAATATCCAAAATTCAAACGAAAAGCTTTGAACTCAACTTTTGGATGCGAATCTCTAAATTTTTGAGTAAGAACCTTTGAACTTAAATGTGAAATCTCAAATTTGTTAAAGGTGAACCTTTGAACTCGAATGAGAAGATTTGAACTTTTGGATGTGAATCTCTAAAATTCAAATAAAAATCTTTAAATATTGGATGCAAGTCTTACAATTTACAAATGTGAATATTGAAATCTTGCAAATCTAAAATCTTACATATCTGTAATTTTGTGAATCAAATTCTTATGAAACTGAAATTTTGATAATCACATTTCTGTAAATCCTTGCGAAGCTAAAAGGTTCTTGCAAATCTAAAAATTTGAATTTTAAACTCAAATTATGAATATTTGAGTTTCCATTACAAATTTCATCATATCTGATCTACGACTCCTTTGAACATGATTGTTAAGGAGCATTTTATTTTTCAAAGTTGTGGTGCCTCTGTTTAGATGAACAATTTATTTTTTAAAGTTATGGTGCCTCTGTTTAGAAAAGCATTTATTTTTCCTAAAATCGTTGAGCCTCTATTTAGATGAGCTTTGTTTAATTTTAAAAAAACAACAAAAAAAGAAAAAATGTGTCTAGCTGATTATCTAGATATAAGAAGTGTCTACGTTTTTGCATAATTCCAGTTACACAGAAACTGCGTAAATAGGGGCAGCTGTAGATACCCTATTTTGTCCGAGGTTCTTTGTCAATTGAGACCAGTCCAAGCTCGACTATAGAGATTTTTATTCATTTTTATTTCAAATTTTTTATTTCATATTTATCATTTTTTTTTATTTTATGGTCTATCTATTTTTATTTTTTTTTCTCTCTCCATTTTTTGATTAATTAAAAAAAAAGAAAAAAACTGAAAGATAGAGATTAGGCATGGTGATGATTGTTATCAATAAGCACAACTAGATGCTAATATTTAGCTTTGGATGCTAATCAGAATTGAACAAAAACTCTATCAGCATGATTTTATAAATAATTGTAATTTACAGCAGTGAAAAGGGGGAAACCAGCATAAGAGATCAGGAAAGATCCTAAAGAAAAATAGAAGTACATGACACCACCAGTTTACACTAAGCCAATTTTGCTACCATCTCCAAATTGCCATCCTTTCCATTAATGGCAATTCACACCGAAGCAGCTTAGTCTCAAAATTCAATACTATCTTCATTACCAGTCGAGACCTTATTAAATTTGAACCCATCATCAATAGCCACTGTTGCCAGCAGCACAAAAACAGAGTTATTGGAAATCACGTAGTAAATAGAATCGATTCATCAACCAATAGAAAAACCTAATGCTACCAACACGGATTCAAAAAGAACAAATGTAAGTTAGAAAACTAAAGAGATCAAAATTAGGAAAGGAAAGATGAGGAAAAAGAAAACCAGAAACCCCCTGGCAGCAATGGTGATACGCAATTATGGGTGCGACTTCTGAAAAATTTGAATGGTGAAGATATGGAGTTTGACAAAAGAAATCACATATTGAAAGTTGACGAAGATCCGACAGTAGCAAAGGCTAAAACAGAAGAAAGAAAAAATCATAACTTGGACAATAGATTTACGCTTTTAGGGAGCGATTTATGGAAAAACAAGCCCATATTCGCGATGAGGAGAGTAAGAAGCAGTGATGGAGAAAATTTTGGCTTGATTGGTCGTCAGACGATGGTGGAGTATGACGACGCTGGTGACAGAATCTGGAAACCTTTAAAGTTTTTGACCTAGGTTCTTTTGTCCCTAGAGAGAGGGGGAGAGAAAGTTAAGGGTAGAGAGAGAGTGTAAAGGTGAAAACTAAAACAAAGGGCTAAAACTCTAGCTTATATAGCCATATAAAACGACATCATTTTGGGTATTAGCTAAAAGTAGGATCCGCGTGTTTTGAAGTGGGTAACCCAACCCGTAATGCGACCCGAACCAGTAACTCACATCCCTGCCTTTAGCTCTAGCTGAGCTGAGTCATAAATTGAGCCGTCAAGCTGCACCCCCGAATCGATCTTTATGCCTCAAGCCGAGCTGTTTTAGCCGTTAAGCCGAACCGCGCCAAAGGTTTTTTTTAGTTTTATTATTTTTTTTCTTTATTTATTTATTGACTAAATTAAAATAAATTATTTATTTAATTAAACATTTTTTTAATTCTCAATGACCTCTTTAAAATAAAATTTGAAAAAAAAATATTTTTAACAAAACGTTGAAAGTATCAATTTGCCTTGAAAATAAAATAAAAAAAAATATTTTTGAGGAAAAGTTGGAAGTATCAATTTTTCTTAAAAATAAAATTATCAAGAAAAACATTTTTAAGGAAAAGTTGAAAGCATCAATTTTCCTTGAATATAAAAACCTTCAAATGCTTTAAGGAAAAGTTGAAAGTATGAATTTTTCTTATATGAAAGCATGAGTTTTTCTTATAAAAAGATCTATATCAAAAGTCGAATTATTTTTTTTTTCCTTTTCTATCTTTGAAAATTTTTAAATGCTAAATAATCCGACAACAGAACCTATGTAAAAGAAACAATAGTTTTTTTACATACTCTTGAGGTAAAAAAATTTTTCTTAATTTTCTGTCAAAAATATTAGAGTTAATTAAGAATAATTTTCAATAATTAAATACTTGATAAAATTTTTAAGGCTTATCGGATAACACGAAATTGAGCTAGTACCATCTTTCGATGAGCGTTGTGAGGGTTCTATAACTTTTCTCACACGTAATCGTACTCTCGATCCTAGTTCTGATTTCACAAATATTGAATTTACCTTTTAATGATATCTAAGCCAAACTTAAGAAAGGAACAGATTCAATCATGTGGCTAATCACACCTAAATAAAAAAGATTAACGGTGACTCTTTAAGTCAATATCTAGCTATAGATTTACGGATCTATATGTTAAACAAATGTTTATGTTTTATTTAAAATAAAAATCTATCTAATAAGTTATATTATAAAAAAATATATACAAGTATAATTTTAAATTTAATATTTTTATAAGATATATATTTGGTCCCTAAACTTTGAGAGAATTTTATTTTGATCCTTCATCGACCATATGAGATGTTAACAATGTCATCACGTGATGCCAATTAGCAGTTGCCATCAATTTAGATGGTTTCATAGATGGAATAATTACATTAGCATACATTTAGATAATTGAAGACTCAATTAAAACTTTTTAAAATTTAAGAACCAAAATAAAATTTGGCATAAAGTTTAAGAATCATAAGTGCTATTTACTCTTTTCTTTTTTTTTTTTTTGTTATTTTAGCCAAAAAAATTTTGATTTATAACTTCTTCGTTTCACATTATGTTTGGATTTGATATCACTTTGAAGATAATTATAGTAATTAATCATCAAGGTAACTTTTACTATTAGAATTATTTTATCATTTGTAATTTGAAATCACTTTATTTTTTCGTAAAAAATGTCTAAGCTTAAGAAGATAGGAGAATTGCAAGTGCGAAGACCAATCTTGTAGGAATCGTCCTAAAATATGTAGGTAAACTATTTAGGTGAAGCATCAGATTCAAAGATCACTGTGTTTGTTATTACTCAAGATCAATTATTTTTTATTTAAAAGTACTATAATAACCGTATATATTATTATACACAAAGTCAATGATTTTAATGTTGTTTAAATATAATAATTTATAAAATATTAGTAGTATTTTATTTAATTTATAATGAATTTTAATTAAATTATTCAATTAATAAATATATTTATTGAAAATTAAATTAATTTTTATTATATAAATTATGTAAAAAAACACTTTTAAATTAAAAAAACAAAACTAAATAAATAATAATAATTTAATCATTTTAACAATTTAAGATTATTATCACATAAAATCATCAAATGCTTACAAAAAATAATAATTTAATTATTATATATAAATCATCATAATTTTGAAATGATTATCTCATGACAAACTCCACCTCAAAATGCTTAAGACTCAAGCGGCCTTTCTAAGCCCATCCCAACTTGGATCAATCCTGGGCTCAGGTTTTAAGTATCTTAACAATTATATTTAAACTACTAAAAACAGCGTAAATGGGGTAGTAGGGCTGGGCTCACTCGAACTGGGCTATAAAAGTAGGAGGTGAACTAGGCTTGGGCCATGAAACCTTCCTTCTTCATGTTACTTTTTGTCTTCTTTTAATTTTCAAGATTTTGCCTTGCCTAGTACGTTCAAGAAGCCTTTTAAACTCTTTTCCCAAAACTCCATACTTTGCCGCTATATAGCTCACGTCCCAACTCCCAAAGCCATTTTTCCTCATTCATTCTATGGCTCGCAATATCGAAATTGAGACTAAAGAAGAGAAGCCAAAATTCCCTAAAAGCTTGTTTTTATTGTTCCCAAAGCTTCCTTTCAACAGAAAACGCAGTGTTGAAGCTGTGATTGAAAAGAAACCAAATGAAAAGCAGTTGGGTGATGAGATGAAAAAGAGCAAAAAGGCTGATGTGGTGAAGTTGTCAGAGACTCGGCCAGCAGCTCCTTCCCCACTGAAGCTGGAAGCCCAACAGTCTGAAAGGAATTCCAATCCGACAATTCTGTGGCAGGTGACTACTCTCTCCCATGAAATGGCTTTTATTTTATTTTCTTGAATTAGACAAAGAAAGAATCTTTTAAAGGAGAAAAAGAAAAGTTTGGGTTGAGTCTAGAAGAAGGTATGCCCAAACTCCAATGTGAATACTATAAATGCTTTATTCCAAATCTATGATGTTCCCCCCATGCCAAGGACATGACAATCAAGCTTAATATTGGCTGTTTATAACATTACTTATCAAACACTTTTATCTTTATTTTTTTATTTTTTCAATATTTAATTTCAATTTGTAAAAATTGATATATTTTTTTTCACCCCAAGCATTTAAGTAAGTAATGAAGTAATGATGCATGATTCCCTTATCTTTTTAAATCACTTTTGTTTTTATTTTAATTTGCATTTCTTGATACTTATATGTATAGGTTTTATACCTAATTGTTTTACTAGAAAAATAATAAAAGCCTAATCGTGAACAAGATAATAGAATTAATTTGCCCAAACTTTTTATGATTTTTTTGTCTATCAACACGCATTAAGAATAATTAAAAATATTATTTTAAAAAATTTTCATTAAATGCACTATTTTAATTACATTAAAATTATATATTATTTTTTTTTTTATAAATATCACTTTCGTTCGATGATAACATCTTCCGTGAGTTAACACATTTTCCGTCCAGCTCAGATGGCGTATGTCTATCAAACTTGTATAAAAAAAGAAAAGAAAAAGCTGTAGACAAAACGTATAATTTTTTTCGGATAACGTGTGTATACAAGCAAAATAATTAAGGATTATTTAATTATTATTTTAATTTTTATATTTAATGTATTATTTTAACAAAATTCAAGAAAAATTAATATATTAATTGTATTTTTCTTTTATAAATATCATTTTAGTCAATGTCATTACGCATTAATTGACATTTTCTTTTTTGAACAAAATTTCCTTCAAAATTTATTAAAGTGAAAAACGAATGAAAAAATCTCTTAAAAATAAAAAAGAAAAAGAAAAACACGTGCAATAGGCACGTAACTCTCTGCTTTTTCCACCAATACAATATATATATATATATATATATATATATAACCCTGTTTTGTGGAGTCAGAAACAAGTCTTAGTCCGAGCCCAGGTTAAGCAATGGCGGAATCAGAGAACAAAGAAATTCGAAGCCAAAATGAAAATCCTTTAGAACCCAGAAACATTTTCTCAATGTTACCCAAGATAGAGCTGAAATTCCCTTTCTTTAACCAACACTCTAAAGAAGCAGATGCCTCGGTTAAAAAAGAGGAGGAAAATGAAATTCTAAAACCACCATCTTTATTTATGGGAAACCGCCTGAAATTTCCGCCGCCTTTGGAATTTGAGGCGGAGGAGTGCGTTGGGAGGACTTCTAACCCTATAGTTCTCTGGCAGGTATACTGTTTTTCTTATAATTCTTTTTTTTTTCTCTTTCTCGGTGTTTTAAATAACTGAAAATGTGGTTTTGTCAAATATAATCTTCTTATTTAGATTAATGAGTATGGTTAGCAGTTTTTTTTTTTATGAGTTTATGTTTGATGCATTATCCTTGTATGATTCTTCTATAATTTGTTAGTGAACCACAATTTATCGCTAGATTATAATTATAGTTATATATTGTCATTTTGTCAAATATAAACTTTTCTATCTTATTGGAAGGAGTTTTTTTGAGAGTGTGGTAGCGATTGTTTGCCAATGTAAGTAGGAATTCTATGATACTAGGACTGGGAGTGAGTGTCTTACACGGGTATGCTCAATGTTTTTTTCAAGTTTTTCCATATATTTAGGGTCAGACCTCCATGCCCATGTGGGTTGAATACTAGTTAGACACAAATACTTAAAGAAAAATGAAAAGTCTGAGCATAAAATCTGAAGTCATTGATTTTTTATATTTTGGTTGACAATGATATTATGTTCCATCACCAAAAACAAAAAAGGAAAAAAAGATAATTTTATGGATGCCTTCTGGTGATATATAGTTGATAATAGATACTGAATCTTTTAACAGTGTCGACACTGTAATAAGATGAAATTAAGTGACGTTGAGAACTGAAGTCCCTAGAACCTTAGAAGTATCTAATGCTTCCCCTGTACCTTTGACTGTCTTTTAGTCATATTGTTAGGCGTATTCATCTGGACCTCTGAAGGTATATGGTTCAAAATGTCTTTGTGAGTGATCTGGTGCAGATGTGGGATGACACAGGATATCAGTTAATTATTTCAACAAAATTCATTAAAACTGTGGCTTAGACTGTTGAAACAAGGTATAATTAAAGAAAAAGTTCTTCTAAGTTTGTTATCATAGAATGAGTAAATGATGTCAATTTTCTGAAATGATGGTGAATCCTGTTTCTTCAAGACTGGTTTACAATAAACAAGAAGATGTACATATTTTCCATCCAATTCATTTAGTTTGCTTATGCTGGGTGTTGTGGATGGTAGATCCCTCTGTCTTTAGAAGAAAGAGGGAATCGTAATGTTAGCTTCTGGATCACAGATTATTGAGAAAATGATTGGCTTCTCAATATGAGATTGAATAAAGCATTTTTGTTGGCAATGGTTTTGATTAAGACCAGATTGGTTCTGACAGGCTTACAGAATGTATTAAACTTGTTACTATTAAAAATTTGTACCTGCTGCTTATGAAGTCATTCAGATTAAAAACCTAGTGATTTAGTAAATAAATAACTAAAAGTGATTAAGTTTTTTGGCTTTTGAGTTTTGCCATAGGTGGTCTTGTTTTCCTTAAAAATTATTATAAGGCTAAGAGTGCTTTGAGAATGTTCTTGGTAAGCTGGATTTTTTTCATGTCCTGACATAGTATTACACAGTTGTGTAAGACCAATAGCTGCTGTATTCTGGTTATGGCTGACAAGGTGTTTGTAATTTTTCATCCTTATTTGATAATACAAACCAATTGAATATTGATAATTTTTCATGATTGATAAAATGATTTACTTTGATTTTCCTAAGAAATGTCAGGATATGACATCTAAGAAGCTGTACATGATCCTCAACCCCCAGTGACCAGTCTATTGGGAACTAAGATCCAATCTAAGGGATTCTAACTATTTCTCTTTCTCTTTCTTTTCAACATTCTTGTCTTTCAATTTTCATTGGTAATTTAGGATGAGTGTATGCAAATAATTTTTCTTAGCACCACACTTCCTGTGCCATGGATGTTTCTCTGTGTTCATTTTGTTCATATTGTTAGTTTTGCAACATAAGCCAAAGTCATCATCTTCTATTACCTTTTAGCATAATTGTATAGTCGATCATATTGATGTTGCTTCTTCTTTTTTGTTTTAGCAATCTTGGCCTCATCTTGATGTACAGTTTATACTTTTGAAATTGATTTCTATCTTTCTTATAAAAGCTTTTCAGTTTCTTTTTTTACCCCCATTTCTTTTCTCGAATAAACCATTTGCTCCATGGACCTTCTTTTTATTATCTTAGATCAGATCCTGCTGTGTCTTCTATCATGTTTCAGAATTCTTGCTGTTCATAGGAATGACAACCAAACAGGGAGTAAAATTCAATTGTTTGTCTAAATAAAACATGAAAGTATTGTTTCTTTTCATAGATATATTTTTGTAAGTATTTGTTAACTAGTAATCAGTGGCTCTTCATTGATTCATTTGAAATCCTCCTGCAATCCGATATTTTGAAACTGCAATTTATGTAGTTTTGATCAATGAAGTAGCTACACAGAAGATGTGACCACACTCCCCCTCCGGATCCCAGGTTCCATGGCCTCCCTTCTGTGAATTGTTTTTAATGGTGCTGTTTTATTGAGTATGGTAGATAAACTGGCTGTCGGGGGTGTGTTTTATCTTTCATTCGTAACACCTTTTCATTGGGTTTTACTAATCCAATTAGTGAACTTGCTGTTAGGTTTATGCCATTGGTGGTTTCTTTCTACTAAAATGGATTTGGGCAAGATGGAAGGAAAGGAAGGAGATGGGAGCCAAAATGGAATCATCCGATGACGAGGGCGAGCAGCCTCCTGCTGATGATGATTCTCAATATGTGTGATAATCTTTGGATTATGTTTTATCAGACACTTTTACATTCTGGATTTTAGGAGTTATACTTTGCAGATATCTTATCAGAGTCCAAGTTTTTAAGGTGCTTGATTAAAAGTTCAGCTTCCGTAGCTGAGAACAATTTGGCTCATCCGATTTCACCTCGGTTCGAGTCAGTTTGTATTGGACAATAAAGCACGGTATAACAGCTGAACAATGAATGAGAGCAAGAACTCATGAAGATCAAGCAAAGGAACTTTCACTAGTGAATTGTATGAAGTCTATCAGTATAAATCGGTTATGAGGCGACCGTTGCAAATAAATAGTCTCAAAATTTAAACGAGGTAATCTTACTGAAAAAAAAAGAATGGCCATGCGATAGCTATACTGAAAGGTTCTTACGGACTGAACCAGCATAAATACATAGATAGATAACAATCAACTTTACATTCATTGTACAACATATTCCGAGACGTATCGAAAATGCTAGGTCAGTACCTTGTATGCCACACCTCCAGGCCTGCTTCTGATATGAGAGCCTGAAGCACCAAATCTGTGATAACTGATTATTGATGCAACAACTGATTATATATCTAAACTCAGCTGCAAATCCAAATTTTCATTCAGACTGAAAATAACCATCATAAATAGAAAGCCGGTCAAACGCATCAAAATTTGCCTTCAGTCCAACAAACTGACTACCCAGCTGAGCACAAGCAGCATCCGGCCACCGGCAGCCCCCATTCCGCAAAGGACATAGGGTTTCACATACTCGACCAAGTGGACTGCTCGAAACAACATCTTCTGACACAACTGTAATTGAAACGGATAAATCTGATTTGTCCTCAGGTCCCATCGTACCATCAGAATTTCTTCTAGGAGGTGAATGCATATATTTTTGTGGAGTTTCTGTTGGATTGCTTTCAAAATCAAAACTACAATTAACGCTACTTGTAAAGTTAACCCTGCACCCCAACGACTGTATGGCTCGCTTTATGGCTGCACTTTCCTTGCTGGCTCTCTTGGCCAAGTTCATTGCTGAGCTGCTTACCTGTTTCTCATTTCGTAGCTCTGCATTCAATGTTTCCATCGCCATTGAGTATTCTTTGGCTTTCTTTTCAGCCGCTTCTTTCGCCTGTCAGCATTACAACACCCAATAAATATTTCAAAAAAACCTTCTGCTTAGCGAATACTGTTACATGTTCCCAATTTATCCGTTGCACCATGTATTTCTGATTAACAGAGGAAAGGATTAGTGGCCAAATTTTGTAAGATTTAATACCTTTTGCAGTTCAGAAAACTTTATAGCCATGTGCCTGCTTTCAGCCTCGAGCTCACCAGCTTGGGATTCAGAAGGACAAGCCCAGCGAAGATGGAATTGGGGCCAAAGTGTTGGAGCTAAAGCAGCTGCTGGAGGTAAAACTCGGCCATTATGTTTCAATGGATCATAGAAAAGGTTATAATGGGCATGGGAACTTCCCTCCGAAGAACGGACATCAGCCAAATAGGCCCACAAGCATCCACAAGCTTCATAAACACCACATTGTAGTCTCTCCTTCTCGCTGAAAATTTAAATAAAGAAAATACCATAGAAATTAGAAAGTGGGTTCGGGAAATTTGAAGGGAAGGAAAAAAAGGAAATAATTTCTTTTGATGCAACAAAGTCATCTTCGAAAGCTTTTAACACTTCCTTCATGTACTATTACAGCTACCTCAGTTGTACAATATCACAGTTTAGACTAGTAACTAGTGAAGGAAATTATTTTAGGCTCACCAAAATTTTATGAAACAACATATAGAACTCATACTTTAATGTAGAAAGAACCATAAGCCTTTTTCCTCATTTCTGCAGGCTTATAAATCTTCTGATCTTGTGAAATGCAGAAGATTGCAACAATAAACAAACTGATTCCAGATTCAAGATGCTCATAGGAGTTATGCACAAATATTCACTATTTTCCTATAGAAGCATCAAATATATGAAAAGGCAGCATAATTTTAGATGGACAGAGATTAAGATGACTAGTTTTCTCAACATCAAGCAGAAAGAACCCAATGTAATATTAGAAGCAACGCACTCATATTTTAAGTAAATCCATCTTGATAATATGTTAGCTCTGTCTTAGTATATTTTAGGTAAACTTTAAACCTTTCATAAGGTCTTGATCACAGAGGATTGTAAACAAAGATGAAGGACAATGATCACCTGTGGACTGCCTCTAAAGGCACCAAGTGTTTGTTGCATGCACCATTTTTCCCCCAACCCCTCTCCCCCCCTCCCCAAAAAAAAAAAGAAAAAACCTCAATTTTGTAATGCTGCATTTCTCATATTTGTCATAAAGCAAAACTTGAGCTGGCACGTGCAGGTTAATGCTACTGATAGGAAATTACCTGTTACACAAGAAATTTCCAAAACGACAAGAAAGCACACAGTCCAAGAAATCCACCAGGAAAGTCTAAATCACCATAAAGTAAGAATGTCATTACTATAGAGAAAACAAAAGAAAAACACCAAAAATACAGCTATGTCAACCTCATGAAACCAAAAAAAAAAAGTTTATATTTGATAACAACAAGAAATGCATGCCATGCATAAAAGAAAGATACATACTGAGGAGAACTCGAAAGCAAAAGGATACATCCTTAACAACTGTGAAACACAATCAACCCACTGCAAAACAATCAGATGTCCAATCAGATCGGTTAAAATAGAAGTCATACAAAGCACAACTTTTCATAACATATAGCAACTCAGATTAATCAGAGAACTAAAATTATACTGATTAATTAAGGATATCAGCAAAATAAAACATTTATTATTTATAATTTTGGTAAAATAAAAGCCCCCAAAGGTTTTAGTGAAAATCTATTTACACCCCATTGTTTTGGAAAACCCCCTTCCCGAAACAAAAATAATGGCATTAAAAATCCATTGAACTTATCATCTACTTTTCAGCATATTCCATTAGCCTTTTAATGGCTATTTCACATTGTTTCTTTTTGAGGGAGGAAAAAGGGGATTTTCAAACTACCGGAGGATAAAGTGTATTTTCCACCCAAACCTCTCATAACAATTTTCCCTTATAATTTTACAAGTGCATTAAATGTGAAAATTAACAAACTACAGTAACGCTAGTTCATTGATAGAATAACCATAAATATATGTCAGCATGTGCACCTGTAAGAATATAGGGGAATAATTGGTCTGCGCATGAGATGAATTAGAAGCTTGAGGTGTTAATGATCCTGAAGATTGACGCATAGGTGATGATGAAAAACTTCCAGTAGAAGATTGTCTGGTTAATTCAAACGAAGTTCCAGATATGCTCGGCATTCCCACACGATCTGAAAATGGGTGACCAAAAGCTAGCCAATCTTTTTCAACAAGTGCCTGCACCAAGACAAAATAGTTCAGAATTTAAGAGACAACTGGATAAGTGGTTATCTCAAGTTCCTGGGGTACTGAAGCTATCAGCATCTCATATGGATGTGACCAAGTGAAATTAAACTGCAAAACCACTTTTTTTGGGCAGGGGGCTGTGGGTACATGACACATTGACACTTATTGATCTCAAAAGTAATGCCAAGCATGTGATGAAGTCTCACACACCAAAAGTGAACCGGGAAAAGGTACAAGGAACACCAACTACAAATTAAGCAGCTTGTGCGGTAATGCTGCATATGAAAGATAGGGTTCAAGAACAGAGATTGCAGAAACAACAAGGGTGGTGGGAGGAGATTATTGGTTGGCAAGAAGAATCTCCTTCAGAAAATTACCTGAAAACCTGTGAATGTTCGGTAATATGGATCAAGCATCAGGTTTGCAAGTGAAACCAGCTGACTTGTTCTATCCCATCCATCACTGCACAGTAAAACAGCCCAGATACAAATAAGAAACACCACAGTCCATGGTAGAGGATAATTAAATTAACAAGCTAGGTGTCATGTGTATATAAAAATAAAAAAGGAAAGAAGAGAAGGTAAACAACAACAAATGTGATGGTATTCATATCATTTACTGGTAGTTGTTGGCATGAGTCAGGAGGCAGGAGAGTTGCAACAATTTTATTTCCTTTATTTATTTTCTTAAGATAAATTGGGTCTTAGTTGCATTTTATACCAAAGTCAAAATTTAGCCCTCAGGTTTCTACTGGGCTTAGGATAGGATTACTAGACGGGTTTTCACATATTTTCTCTTCTTTTCTTCCTTTTTTTTTTTTTCATTTTTAACAATTTGAGGTTTCAGTTTAGCCTACCGAATACCAGTTAAACATATTCATGTGAATCGCCTCAATCAAACCAAAGTGAAAAGGGTTGATTGACCAAATAAAAGTCATAAAGCCCATTTCACACAGTTCAAATTCGAGGGGTCATCTAAGGATTTCCACTGTTTTTATTGAAGCTAGTAAAGGAAATGAAAGGACAGGATATGTCATCACCTTCTTTGCATAATTAACATTAGTAAGGGAAAGGAAAAGGAAAAGGAGAGATTATGAAAAATCTTGGTTTGGTTTAAGGAGGGAAAGGAAAAGATACATCTTAATACACTTTTCCAAGTATATCCTTTCTAAATAAAATGTTTCACCCATCATGTGATTGATCTTTGAGATAAATTATTTTAAATAAATTTGAAATTGAAAGAACAAAAATAACTTCTATTAAGGATATGATTTTTCTCCCAATAATTTTTTTTCTTTCAAAATTGTTTGTGCACAATTATAATTCCTTTTTGGCATTAATTAGCTAAAAAGAAAATTTAAGAAAATGAATTTTGCTTATTAAGATAGAATCTTCCTAGTACTATTTTTTCTTACAAGTCTATAAGCTCCAATGTGGGCATTATTTCTCCAATGTTTTGTGTTTCTTCATGTTCTTTATCTTCACCACCAATTTGTGAGTTAATAAAATGGCAAGAAAAAATTTCAAGAGCCCAGCATAAATATAAAAAAAATCAAGGCTATCTAACAGTAGAAGCCGAAGTTATTGACCAAAAAAACTAGTTGATAAAGAGCTGCAAGAGGATTTAAAGGGTACATAAATGGCTGTGGTTTGGTGATTATAAAGGTTTTGTTTGAAATTTAAAGAATACAATAAGGTATAGT